CCCGGGCCTCCCGCGTGGCAGGCGAGAATTCTACCACTGAACCACCAATGCCTTGACTGGGAGACTCTCATCCTTGGATTCTATATAGCTGAACAGCTTGGCAAGTTGTAAACATTTCCTTGAATTGCTTATTAATTCTTATGCTAAGAGTTTTGGGGTTTTTCTTTGCATTTCATTGACTGGCTTTGTAGAATCATGAAAGGCCAAACTAATTTTTTGGTAACTTTTTGTATAGTAATAATCTATAAAATTGCTGACTTTTACCAAACTATTTAAAACTTTTTAATATAGTAATAATCTATAAGATTTCTCAATTTTAATTTGGAAAAAAAAGGGGAGATACCTCTGCTGGGTTAGGACCCATTATCATGGCACTCTACACATGCCTCAAGGTGCTGGGTTTGCTTTCTAGCTCTGTTTGAGATAGAATTGGAAATAAGAGAGAAAGGTAAATAATAATAATAATAGAATTGGAAATAAGAGAGAAAGGTATACTGAGTAACTTTTCCCTGGTGGAAACTCAGCTTTGGAAATGTAGCTCCTAGATTATATTAAGAGGAAATAGGAAAAAATAAATAGATTTTTAAAATATTGTTTTTTTTAAAAAGTGAGGTTCCACCGAGATTTGAACTCGGATCGCTGGATTCAAAGTCCAGAGTGCTAACCATTACACCATGGAACCGGCCACGTGGGCCGCTCCTCCTCGCTTCCCTTTGTTCTAAAGCAATGACTGTATAGTTACAGTGTTTTTCAGCTCTTACCATCAGCCAGGCTTGAGCAAACTTGGGGCTCTTTAGATGTTTTGGACTTCAAGTCCCAGCATTCCTAACAGCCTCAGGCCCCTTCCTTTTCCCCCTCAGCCGCTTAAGCGGCTGAGGGGGAAAAGGAAGGGGCCTGAGGCTGTTAGGAATGCTGGGACTTGAAGTCCAAAACATCTAAAGAGCCCCAAGTTTGCCCATGCCTAATCTATTGTGTCACTCTGGACCGTACCCTTACCTACAAGAAGCACTGCCTGAACATCAAGCAAAAAGTGGGTGCTAGAAACAATATCATACGAAAGCTGACAGGCACAACCTGGGGATCACAACCAGACACAGTGAAGACATCTGCCCTTGCGCTATGCTACTCTGCTGCTGAGTACGCATGCCCAGTGTGGAACACATCACACCACGCTAAAACAGTGGATGTGACTCTTAATGAGACATGCCGCATTATCACGGGGTGTCTGTGCCCCACACCACTGGAAAAATTACACTGCTTAGCCGGTATTGCACCACCTGACATCCGCCGGGAAGTAGCAGCCAATAGTGAAAGGACCAAGGCAGAGACATCTCCAGCTCATCCCTTGTTTGGGTATCAGCCAGCACGTCAACGACTTCAATCAAGAAATAGTTTTCTAAGATCTACAGAGACACTCGCTGGAACACCTCAGCAAGCGAGAGTCCAAAAGTGGCAGGCTCAAACCCAGAACCTCAACCAATGGCTGATACCAAATGAAGAGACTCCCCCCTGGGCACACAGAAGACTGGCGACTTGGAAGGCGCTGAACAGACTGCGCTCTGGCACCACGAGATGCAGAGCCAACCTCAAGAAATGGGGCCACAAAGTGGAATCCACGACATGCGAGTGTGGAGAAGAGCAAACCACTGACCACCTGCTGCAATGCAACCTGAGCCCTGCCACATGCACAATGGAGGACCTTCTTGCAGCAACACCAGAGGCACTCCCAGTGGCCAGATACTGGTCAAAGGACATTTAATCAACTACCAAGCTTGCAAACTTTGTGTTTTGTTTGTCTGTTTTGTTCTGTTGGAAATGTAATACAATTGTCTGGTTGCCCCTGACACGATAAATAAATAAATAAACCATCTACATAAAAGCTGACTTTCCAGTTAATCAGCCTCCCTAAAAAACGAACACTCGCCCTTGCGGAAAAACAAGAACATCTGGAATTGGAGCAAGAATCCTGCTAGCATCAGCAGGAACTCTAGTTGGGTTGAAAGACCTTTCAAAAGGAGGTTTCAGCTCAATCTAAGCCAGAAGTGGAAATCATAGGCTTCTCTCTGTACTTGGATTGCGCATCCCAGCATTCCTCAGTATTTGTTATGCTGGGATTTGCAGTTCAGCCTCACATTACAATACATGCGCAAAACCACATACATATACGTGAACACACATATACACACACAAAACACATATCCACAGTCAGGGCCACAGCAACGTGTGGCAGGGGACGGCTAGTAAATAATAATAATAATAATAATAATAATAATAATAATAATAATAATAATAATAATAATAATGGATCTATTACCTCTCTATGCGACTCATAGTCTTTCCATGAGGATGTCATGGGGTCTTTTTATATGTTTTAAATAAGTTGTAATGATTTTAATGCTTTTAACTATTCATTTTTATGTAGCTCTAGATTTAATTCTATTTTAGTGTTTATACTCTTTAGGTTTGAATTGCATTGTTGGGCGAGTGGGCTTATTAACAAAAGATCCTCCCCATAGACATATAGCAGAGTAATTTATTTGCAGCTGCGTAACCCAGCATCAGTAGCCAAAAGTTATAAAGTTATACAGAGACTAGGGCTGGGTAACCATGGAAAAATTTGTTTCTAAACTCGATTCGTTTTTAAGGGGTCCATCACGTTTCGTTTCTTTAAAGAATTCCGAAATTTTCCTTTTAAAAATTTCGAAATATACGAAATTTCGTAAATTTCGAATCGATTCGTTAATGGCGGACGCGATTGCGCAATATGCTAAAAAAACCTCCAAATGGGACAGGAGGAACTTCTGAAGCTTCCCTCTCCCTCTGTTGTTGACTGTTGGTGTGATAAAACAAACAACAACTATAAAACTTGCACCAGGCATGCGAAAATAATTACGAAACAATTTTTTCGAAACAATTACGAAATAAATTGAAAAATTGTTTCGAATCTATTTAACTCCTCACACTATTCCAAAATGGCTCAATATCGGATTGTAAGCTAATTTAAATACGAATTAATAACGAATTACGAAATTAACGAACGAAACCGCCCAGCCCTAACAGAGACCAATGTTGTATCTTCCTTAGGAGGATTTTCTTTGTAGTAAAATAATGTGATTGCACTATTTACAAGAACAAGGTTTCCATAACACAAATAAAGTTCTTTACGCTTCCTTCTTTGCTTCCATGCTGGGCTTCTTTCTTATGCAGATAAACAGCTTCTTTCTTCGCTCTCACAGAGCCTTCTCTGACACTGAACTTATACAGGAGCTTCACGCAGTAGCTTTACACAAGAGGCATCAACCTGGGGCTTCTCTCACTGAAGCTTCTCACACCAGGCCTACTCCCTATGAAGCCTCTTTTGCACTGAGGCATATCTCACACTGAGGCCTACTACGCTACAGCCAGGCACAACTTCTTATATTGAACTGCAGCTTTTGCTGAGTCATTGCATCCATTTAAACCTTTCAGTGCTTGAATCACATTTTTGTAATTAATTTTGTAGTTTTTTTAAAAAATTCAGCTTAAGTGGCTGAGAGGGAAAAGGAAAGGGCCTGAGGCTGTTAGGAATGGTGGGAGTTGAAGTCCAAAACTCCTGGAGGGCCCAAGTTTGCCCAGACTTGTTATAAACCAATACAATAATAATAATAATAATAATAATAATAATATCAACAACAACAACTGTACCAAGGAGCAAAGAATACACGGAACCATGCCCACTTGTTCATAGAATTTATACATATCGGTACATAACAGAATCAGAAGCTGAGTCAGTCCTTTATGTCTCTCTGTGAGTGACATTTGTTAAATTAAAAGAAGTCATGTGGGATTTGTTTCATACTATACATGTATAACACGTTCATTCAATTTTAGCTGCCATCGTTTTCATCCTGGGACATGGGAATTGAGGGAGATTAAGTCCCCTTCTACACTGCCATATAAAATCCAGATCATCTGCTTTGAACTGGATTACATGGCAGTGTAGACTCATAAAATCCAGTTCAAAGCAGATGATTTGGATTATCTGCTTTGATAATCTGGATTAAATGGCTGTGTAGAAGGGTCCTTAGAATTCTTAGCCAGGGAGCTTTAGTGCTGAAATAGACTACATATCCCAGAATGTCATAGGATGTAGATATGGAAAAATGAAAAACTAGTGTGATAACTGCATGGCATGAAAGGTCGTTTTAGGTAACACAGAAGGAAATACTTCTAGGATTGGTAAATAATCTCCCAGGCCTCATCCTAGTCTCTGACCCTTTTAGGATCTAGCCTAGGCATGGGCAAATTTTGGCCCTCCAGGTGTTTTGGACTTCAAGTCCAAGTCCAGCACCTACTGGCTGTTAGGGATTGTGGGAGTTGAAATCCAAAACACCTGGAGGGCCAAAGTTTGTCCATGCTTGATCTAGCCGTTCTTTATGTGCCCCATGGTAGTGCGGTGTGTTAAACTGCTGAGCTGCTGAATTTACTGACTGAAAGGTTGGCGGTTCGGATTTGGGAAGTGGGGTGAGCTCCTGCTGGTAGACCCAGCTTCTGCCAACCTAGCAGTTCGAAAACATGCAAATGTGAGTAAATCAATAGGTACCACCTTGGCGGAAAGGTAATGGCAGTCCATGTAGTCATGCTGGCCACATGACCTTGGAGGTGTCTATGGACAACGCTGGCTCTTTGGCTTAGAATTGGAGATGAGCACCACCACCCAGAGTTGGACATGACTAGACTTAATGTCAGGGGGAAGAACCTTCACCTTTACCTCTACCACCCTTATATACAGAGGGCTTTATGTGTTATTAGCAGATCCTATTGAACAAATGATTGTTCAAACTTTAAATGATGCTAGCCAGACTAGTACTGCTGAGATTTGAAGTCCACCCACTACTGGAAGACGTAGAATTCCTATCCCTGTGTGCGATGAAAATTAACATGAGGACTAATAACTTGGGCCACCGAACAAAGATAACCTTCTCCCCAGACCCAGCAAGAGTTACTAATCCTGCTTCCATAATATATAACCAAGCAGAAGCCTAAGTATTTAAGGCTTTACAAAATGAAGCAGAAAGCACATGATGCGTGGAAGATTGTTTCCTCACCAGCCCATGAACATTAGAAGCAACAAACAGAAGCAAATCTCATACATTTCAATGTGGCCTAACATAAGGCTTTGCAGGAGATCGTACCCTTTAAAAGTAAAAACCATTCCACTGCAATGCCAACAGGAAGCTTCGGTTTTCTTCTTTGGACCCCAACACTGAAAAAGTAAAACCAAACCACAGCAGAGGAAGAAGAAATATGTTGGATTATATAGATTTTCTTGGGTCTGGAGAAGCATTGGATATCGAACTTGTCAGTGGGTCTATATCCATTTCCTGATCAGGGAAAGTCCCAAGTTCAGTCCCTTTGTGCCTCGAAATTGACAACACAAAACAGAGGAAATAATGTGATTTTTCAAAGCGTCCTTCTCTGCATTGAAAACCACAGTTGGTAAGCTCTCTGCAAAAAGGTGGATGTAAACCAGAAGGGATTTCTAGTGGACGGTTCTCTCCTTCTGCCGCTGGTAATCTAGAAGCAAAGGGAAGGGAAAATGAGAAGGAAAGTCTGTGGCGGAATGAAAATCATGCATAGTGCATGCTTTTTACCAGTCCACACACTGTCTTGCAAGAGAAAATATATGCCTACGCAGATTATCAGTAAAGAACAGAAAGTTTACTCTTTAAAATGCAGAGCAACATATATACAGTCATGGGAACAGGTTTTGTTTTGTTTTTTTGGGTCGTGTCAGGAGCGACTTGAGCAACTGCAAGTCGCTTCTGGTGTGAGAGAATTGGCCATCTGCAAGGACGTTGCCCAGGGGACACCTGGAAGATTTGATGTTTTTATCATCCTTGTGGGAGGCTTTTCTCGTGTCCCCACACGAGGAGCTGGAGCTGACAGAGGGAGCTCATCCATCTCTCCCTGGATTCGAACCTGCGACCTGTTGGTTTTCAGTCCTGCCGGCTCAGGGGTTTAACCCACTGCGCCACCATTGACTCAAACAATGTCCTTTGAGAGAAATTCAAATGGTCTTTAGAAATGCGTGTAGAAGACCCTCTTCCAGTCATGAGAACAGGTTTTGTTTTTGTTTTTTGTCGTGTCAGGAGCGAAAACTTTTCTCTCTGTGAAAGCTCCTGCACAGCTAACAGCCTAAAAATGTAACTGTTGCCAAAACTCCCAGGTTCGGCTAGCCTCCTGGGAATGACCCAACCAATCAGCTTCATGCTTTGCATTTTTCAGTTAACACACTCACCAGCTGATTTTTACATGCCCTAACAAAGTCAACCTATAGATCTTGTTCCAAAACGTGGAGTTGGCTGGAATTCCTACACCAAGACTTTGTTCGATACCAAAACCTGAGGCCCATCCATCCCAGCTGTAAGGTTAAATATACAGAAGGAAAATGGATGCTGCAGGTGATGTCTAGCAGCGGGAAGGAGCAGTGCTTTAGCCTAATAGATAACCTTCATCTCCTTAAGGCAATTGGTAGGAAAAAGCAAGAAATTCTGCCCAGACTATTCTTGATTTCCAAAGATGGATTGGGTTACATATTTATGTGCTTCACAGCAAACCATTCAGCAATGGTCTGGAATGTATTTTTCTGCCTGCACTGTATGGTCTTATTTCAAAAGGCAGGCATTGCTTTCGGCTTTCTTCTGTTCCAGTACCACAGCAGATAAGATCGGGATACTGTAAATTGTTTCTGTACATAGAAGCTTTACCAACTGTGCTGTCTTGCTGCATCCTCATTCATAATTTTGTGGCTCTTAATGAGACATGCTGCATTATCACGGGGTGCCTGCGCCCTACACCACTGGGGAAATTACACTGTTTAGCCGGTATTGCACCACCTGACATCCGCCGGGAAGTAGCAGCCAATAGTGAAAGGACTAAGGCAGAGACATCTCCAGCTCATCCCTTGTTTGGGTATCAGCCAGCACGTCAACGACTTAAATCAAGAAATATTTTTCTAAGATTTACAGAGACACTCGCTGGAACACCTCAGCAAGTGAGAGTCCAAAAGTGGCAAGCTCAAACCCAGAACCTCAACCAATGGCTGATACCAAATGAGAGACTCCCCCTGGGCACACAGAAGACTGGGTGACTTGGAAGGCGCTGAACAGACTGTGCTCTGGCACCACAAGATGCATAGCCAACCTCAAGAAATGGGGCTACAAAGTGGAATCCACGACATGCGAGTGTGGAGAAGAGCAAACTACAGACCACCTGCTGAGCCCTGCTCATGCACATGGAGGACCTTCTTGCAGCAACACCAGAGGCACTCTAAGTGGTCAGATAATGGTCAAAGGACATCTAATCAACTACCAAGCTTGCGAACTTTGTGTTTTATTTGTTTGTTAAAAAATGCAATGCAACTGTTTGGTCTGCCCCTGACACGATAAATTAATAATTCATAATTTTATGATAGACATGGACAAAGTGTGGGATGCAGTCTTCCAAGGTCTTCTGGGAGGCTAATTTGGCTTCCTCCTAGCCTTCCCCAGTTGCCCACATTCTGTTTTATGGCACAGTCTCTTAAAGGTTGAGTTTATTTATTTATTTATTTATTTATTTATTTATTTGGAGTTCTTTTACCCCGCCCTTCTCACCCCATAGGGGACCCAGGGCGGCTTACAACAGCAAAGGCATGCTTAGATGCCTGCCACACAAAACAATCATCACAAAACTACAACAATTCATAGTTACCACAATTCATGCATTATCCCAATAAAATCAATAAAATCCATAAAATCAATAAAACCAATACAAACCTAATTCCTCCTCCTACCCTGTCAGTGTTCGCTAACTCATAGATCTGTTTTTTAATTCCACTTCGACAATCCTGCTGATCTTGCTCGCCTGATTGTCTTATTTAATTGCCTGGTTGCCCAAAGGCCTGGTCCCACAACCACGTCTTTACCTTCCTCCTGAAGGAGAGGAGGGATGATGATGCCCTAATTTCCCCCGGAAGTGAGTTCCACAGGTGAGGGGCCACCACTGAGAAAGCCCTGCTCCTCGTCCCCACCAGCCTCACTTGTGACAGTGGTGGGGTCGATAGCAGGGCCTCCCCAGATGATCTCAAACTCCGAGGTGGGACGTAGAGGGAGATACGTTCGGACAGATACACTGGACCGGAACCGTACAGGGTTTTGTAGGTCAAAACCAGCACCTTGAATTGTGCTCGGAACTGAACCGGCAGCCAGTGGAGCTGACACAACAGGGGGGTGGTGTGCTCCCTGTATGTCGCTCCGGTGAGCAATCTGGCTGCCGCTCGCTGGACCAGTTGAAGTTTCCAAACAGTCTTCAAGGGCAACCCCACGTAGAGTGCGTTGCAGTAGTCTATTCGGGATGTAACAAGAGCGTGGACCACTGTGGCCAGATCAGACTTCCCAAGGTACGGGCGCAACTGGTGCACAAGTTTTAATTGCGCAAAAGCTCTCCCGGCCACCGACGAAACCTGGGGTTCCAGGCTCAGCGATGAGTCCCAAGCTGTGAAACTGCGTCTTCATGAGTTATCCTTATGTCTAAAAACTATGAATCAAAGCAATTGGTACAACTGGCATTTTGGTATGAGAAGAAGGAGAACTGCATTTGGCTTTTAAAAGGAGCACAGTGCAACTGCAACCACTTACTGTATGGGAAGAAACGGACTCTCATAATGATCTCCCGAGCAGTTTTCAAAATCTCCACAGCCTGCAGGGAGCAAGTGACAATCACAAGACAACATTTAGCTGGGTCCACATTAAGTTCTCAATGCATTAATGTTTTTATCCCATAAGACATGTGGCCCTCCAGTCCCATTTAATCTGAGAGAACATCTCTCTAGGAATCTCTAGGTCCTCCAGCATGACTTTACAGTCAAATTCTGGCAGAAGAGCTAGAGTTTTAGAAAGAACATACGTATTACTGTAATCAATTGAACTAAAGCAGGCATGGGCTTCATCCAAGTCTCTGATTCTTTTAGGATCTAGCCTAGGTAGGCATGGGTAAACTTCGGGCCTCCAGGTGTTTTGGGCTTCAACTCCAACCATTCCTAACAGTTGGTAGGCCATTAGGAATGGTGGGAATTAAAGTCCCAAACTCCCCGAGGGGTGAAGTTTGCCTATGCCTGGACTAAAGGTAAACCCACCAATATGGAGAGCTGTCTCAATTTCATGCAAGCAGCAAGCATTTTGGACCTCTTGTTATATATCTTCACATTATTTCCAACTTATCACAACATTAAGGAGACTTTATTACATTTTTTTCTCAGCCAGAACTGCTCAAAGGGGATTTGCTATTAATTTTATCTGACGCTGAGAGAGAGTGACTTGCTCAAAGTCACCCAAAAGGTTTCCATGCCTGGGATTTGAGGAATCCCAAAGTCTCCAAAGCCCAAAATTTTAACCATGGCGCCACATAGCTCTTTTGGACTACCATGATGCATTGTGACTTCCAGAATTCCCCAGCCAGCTTCTCCAGGTGGCCTTGGGCAAGTCAAAGAAGGCAATGGCAAAACTCCTCTAAATAAATCCGGGATAAGGTCAAGGTGTATCAGTTCGAACATTGGATTACAATTCTGGAGAGTGGGGTTCGAATCCTGACTCAGCCATAAAAATGGGTGAACACTGGAAAGTCACAGAGGAGGAAGGCAATCCCTCCTCTGAACAAATCTTGCTAAGAAAATCCCATGATATGGCATGGCTGCCATAACTCTGAATTGATTGCTAGTCATACAACAACAACAACAACAACAACAACAACAACAACAACAACAGTAAAAGATTGTTATAAGTCAGGTTCAACTTGAAGGCATTTATTTATTTATTTACAGTATTTGTATACCGCTTTTCTCACCCCGAGGGGGACTCAAAGCAACAAAGAATAACAAAGCAAGGAATGGGGAAGGTGCCTCACCTTGCCATGTTCGATATCCTGGAAATCCACATCATTGACTGCTAGAACCTGGTCTCCCTCTTGCAGCCCCGCTCGATGAGCATCTGAGTCTGGGATTACCTAGAAACATCATAATCATTATTAGGAGGGAATGCATCCGGAACATGCCTATTGGAATGTTATTTTATGACTGTGTTTATAATGTTTTTTCTTGATGTAATTTGATGATGATATTATTTATTGTTTATGCTCTGGTTTTATTTTGTTGTAATATGTTGTTCGGGCTTGGACCCATGTAAGCCACTCCGAGTCCCCATTGGGGAGATGGTGGCGGGATATAAATAAAGATTATTATTATTATTATTATTATTATTATTATTATTATTATTATTATTAATATGACCATACAGCCCAGAAACCTCACAGCAACCCAATCATCATCATCATCATTGTTGTTGTTTGCTACCTGCCTCTCCTAGTGCAAGGCAGGGTACAACAGAGTCAAAATATATAAACATGAAATGTGTACAAAAATACATAGATAAAAACACAGAACTATAAGAACATACACCAAGCACAGAGTACCAATCAACATTTAACAAGAACAGAATGTAATTTCAAAACTCATGATTCAGAACTGACTGGGCAGACCTGCTGGAAGAGAGAGTTTTAAATACTGACAGTTTAGCTTTAGAAGAGGAAACAATAACAAAAAAAACCAGAATCAGAGTCAACATATAAAAACAACACAGTAAGGCAACCCTCCCGGATTCAAATGAATGTAATCTCAAAAAACATAACTTGCTTGCCAAAATGAAAGCAATCAAACACAAGTTGGAAATAAGAGATAACTGTACCTTAGAAATGAAGATCCCCAACTGGGATGCCTTCCCTCCTCGGATGTTAAATCCCAGCTAGAAAAGATAAATCATTAATGAGGGGAGGGAAAGAAGTGTGATTATTCAACACAGAATTTGTTATTGGACATAATATTTTCTCTGAAACTTTTTATTCCACTACAGGAAGATGATAAAAGGACACAAATCCGGCATCAGAAACGGAAATACCCACAACCCGCTGCAGGATACTGGATTCTTTGGCAATGAGGTCCATCCAAATAAAAGTAAAAAAATTCCAACCCTTAAGTAAAAGGCATTCCTGATAAAAAGAGACATCTTCCAGCCACAGAAATTATAAGCTTTCTGTTTTTCAAATAATGGATATGCATGGGCCTTCAGTATCTGCTGGGATTTGGTTCCAGGACAGGTGTCGATACCAAAATCTGTGGATACCCAATTCCTGTTCTATACGATGGCTGAGTAAAATGGCTCCTCTTATATAAAATAGCAAAATTCAAAATCTCACCTGAGCCCCAGGAGGCTTTTTCAGCACAATCGTCCGAGGCAGGAACTGGGTGAGCTCATTGTTGTAATCAGAATGGTAAATTCTCTAAAACGAAATACACACAGAGAGCAATGACATTCTATTATAGGGAACTTTAAAAAAATTCTCAGATTCACTGTACACTGCCTCCTCTATTTCGACTCCACAAAATGGAGAAAAAGCACAATAGGAATTGCTGAAATAACGTTTTTATGCATCTAATCTGAATTGTTTAGAATACTAATGACGTTTAATACTTTTTAAATATTTGTATCTTTGTATATTTGAAATTGTGTTGTGATGCTTTTGGTGTTAGCGTGGTTCTCAACATGTGAGTCCCCAGGTGTTTTGGCCTACAACTCCCAGAAATCCCAGCCAGTTTACCAGCTGCAAGGATTTCTGGGAGTTGAAGGTCAAAACATCTGGAGACCCACAGGTTGAGAATCATTGTGTTAGCCACTTTTAATCTCCTTATAGAGAGAAAAAACGGGATGTAAATAAACATAATAATAATAATAATAATAATAATAATAATAATAATAATAAATAATGTATTCAAGACACAATGTCGGACCTACCCAGTCAATTTTAAACTCTGAAATTTGAATTTACATTTTATGAGTGTCCTGTCTGAATCTTTGTACTATGCCTGTTCATATATATATATTAATGACATTGTGTTTTATCTGTGTGTTTTATATGTGTTGTGCTCCACCTCTAGCCACGAGGCGAATCCGACAACGAAATATTACTACTACTAATAATAATAAATAGGATGTAGGGTCACTTTCCCCCAAACTTTATGACCAGGGGAACATCTACACTGTAGAATTAATGCAGTTTGACATCACATTAAGTGTCATGGCTCATGGATAATGTAGTTTTATAAGGTCTTTAGCCTTCTCTGCCATATAGTGCCGGTGCCCAACCAAACTGCACCTCCCGGGATTCCATAGCATTGAGCCATGGCAGTTAAAGAGGTGTTAAACTGCATTAATTCAACAGTGTGGATGCACTCCAAGTGTCTGTTCTGTTCTGAACCAAAAATGCCGATACTAAAATACTTAAGCAGCTGAGGCCATCAGGTTGTCTCCATGACCAGAGGAGGATCTGTGGTTACTTGCCTCATGGGGAGGGATCCAGGCAGGAGGGCTCTCATAGGGCGGCAAGAACACAACGGGATAGTCATCATATGGGATGCGGCCTCCACCACCCATGTCCATTTTGGAGGCAGTGGAAGAAAAATCTGGAGAAATAAAACAGGTGATTTCACACTATCAGAAACCAAATACACATACAGTACTTCCAAGCCAAGGGAAAGAAGACTGATCCTCCACCCACCCAAGCTTTCTTCTAGCGAGTAATCTGTGGGCACTGTAGATTTAATTCTACTGCAGATAATTTGTTAAGGTTGAAGTACACGTACATGCTACTGAAAACAATATATATATATATTTAAATTGAACATTAAGGAACACTTCTATCAGTTTTGTTTTTGTTTGAAGAATCTAACATTTTTTGCTCTCTTTTCTCTCACGTCACTCCTTGAGTCCCTATGTTAGGAAAAGGACAGGATAAAAATGAAGTAAATGAATAAAAAACAAGCAAAGGATGGTGGAGTCTAGTTGTAGTCCAACAGGCGATATCTCCAAGTTCTTACTAATGTATTTATATTTATTTATATCCTGCTTTACCTCTCCATACGAAGACTAAAAGTGGCTCACAATCCAAAACATTACAACTAAAAATATACAAATATACAATAATAAACCAGTATCTATATAAAGAAAAACATAATTTTCGTTTGTGGGATTAACAGAACTCAAAAACCCCTGGGCAAATTGCCACCAAATTTGGACACAAGACACGTATTATCCCAAGGAGTGACCATCACTCAACAAATTGATTTTGTCATTTGGGAGTTGTAGTTGCTGGGATTTATAGTTTATTTACAATCAAAGAGAATTCTGACCTCCACCAATGATGGAATTGAACCAAACGTGGCACACAGGACTCCCATGACCAACAGAAAAAACTGGAAGGGTTTGGTGGGCATTGACCTTGAGTTTGGGAGTTGTAGTTCACCCACATCCAGAGAGCATTGTGGACTCAAACAATGATGGATCTGGACCAAACTTGGCACGGATATTCCATATGCCCAATATGAACACAGATGGAGTTTGGAGGAAATAGACCTTGACATTTGGGATTTGTACTTACTGGGATTTATAGTTCACCTACAATCAAAGAGTATGAACCCCACCAATGACAGAATTGGGGCAAACTTCCCACACAGAACCCCATGACCAACAGAAAATACTTAAGACCATCCAGTCCAACTCCCTTCACCAGGGCAAGAAAATGTAATCAAAGCCCTCCTGACAAAGAGCCATCCAGCCATAGATATAGATATGATATGATTCACACACACAGAGATATAGTATCCTAGATTTGAAAGGGACCCCCTAAAGAAGGACAATTATATGTTCCATGTTCCAGGGTGGGCAAACCAGACAATCTCCACATTAACACTGACAAAGAAACAAATACTGTTTACTCACAAGCATAAAGAAATTACATATATTAGAAACCAATGCTTTCTCATTACTTTTCCAGATCACCAGACTGGGCCACAGCAACGCATGGCAGGGGACAGCTAATATATTATATATCATTGTATATTGTTAAATATATATTTAATATATTATTATATTAGAATATTGTAATTATATATTATTAGATTGTATTTTATTAGCATTATATTGTTTTAAATTATATTATCAATAATATTATATGCATATCTGATAAATTATATTATTATATGCATATATGATATAGTATATTAGCATTATATATTATGATATTGTAGTATACCACTATACTGCAATATTATTATTATTATTATTAATATTAGTAATATTACATTTAATATATTTAATATAATATATTTATTAGTAGTAATATTGCATTTAATATATGCTATACATTTTAGCATCTACACGGTAGCGTAAATGCAGTTTGATGTCACTTTGATGGGATCCTGGGAGCTGTAGTTCTGCAAGATCTTTAGACTTCCCAGCCAGAGAGTGTTGGGGCCTCATAGAATCAAAGAGTTGGAAGAGACCTCATGGGCCATCCAGTCCAACCCCCTGCCAAGAAGCAGGAATATTGTATTCAAATCACCCCTGACAGATGGCCATCCAGCTTCTGTTTAAAAGCTTCCAAAGAAGGAGCCTCCACCACACTCCGGGGCAGAGAGTTCCACTGCTGAACGGCTCTCACAGTCAGGAAGTTCCTCCTCATGTTCAGATGGAATCTCCTCTCTTGTAGTTTGAAGCCATTGTTCCGCGTCCTAGTCTCCAGGGAAGCAGAAAACAAGCTTGCTCCCTCCTCCCTGTGGCTTCCTCTCACATATTTATACATGGCTATCATATCTCCTCTCAGCCTTCTCTTCAGGCTAAACATGCCCAGCTCCTTAAGCCGCTCCTCATAGGGCTTGTTCTCCAGACCCTTGATCATTTTAGTCGCCCTCCTCTGGACACATTCCAGCTTGTCAATATCTCTCTTGAATTGTGGTGCCCAGAATTGGACACAATATTCCAGGTGTGGTCTAACCAAGGCAGAATAGAGCATGGGGAGCATTGTAGTTTTGCAAGATCTATAGACTTCCCTGCCAGAGAGTGTTGGGGCCTCACCAAAACTACAACTCCCAGGATTCCTTAGCAAAGAGCCACGTCGATTAAAGTGCCCTGGATCTCCCGGATCTAACCATTGGAACTCTTTTACTCAGCTGGACCAAGCCCCGCCCACTTTCGATGCTCCAACCAATCCGGAAAGGCGCTTCCCTCGAGAGCTGCCCAATCGAAAGCGAGAACATCGACTTCTGCTTTTATTGGCCTAACTTTGCGTCAGTTAGAACATAAAGCGTTTCGATTGGTTGGGAAGAGGAGAAGGAGGCGGGGAATAGGAGGAATAGGCGGGGAGAAGGAAATGGGGCACAGTAAAGGGCTGGAGACGCGCTTCCCTGTCTCCCGTCGGCGTGCCTCCATGGCGACGGAGAGCGTCGTGACGTCACGCGGCCCGTCCTCTTTTCCCCTTCCCTCCGTCTTGCGTCACTCTCCCTCTTGGCTCCTCCCACTTTGTTCCGCAAATGCCCGGATGGGCGCGTTGCATTTGAATGTTGGGAGTTGACACAGCGCGAGGTGCCTGGAGGAGGAAGAGAGGAGAGGAGAAGGCCGCGCGCCATTGATGGGCGAATAACGTTTGTAGGCCTTTCCTTCCCCATCCTGCCCTTGTGAATTGTATTGCTCACTCTTCTGGGAGGTGAGGCCTCAACCTTTAATTCTAAATAAAGGCTGTTTTTCCTTGGTGGAGGGCATAGGTGCCCACAAAGCCAATGGTAGACATAGGCATTGATACATGGGACACAAAGTTAATATTCAGTCCACATTGAACCTAGACGGACTGTGTTCTGGCAGCTACGTGATTAATGTGGAGTAGTATCTGTCAGTGTATTTCTGTGCTGTGTTGTTGTCTGTTCTTGGTTTCTACATGACTCTGCGGCATCAAGGGTTATGACATGCTATAAGGAGGATATATGGCGTGATATTAGGTAGTTGCGCTTACTATATCCAGGGCTCCTGCGGCACCCTTGGGGCACAAAGTGAGATTAGGAATAGTAAAAGGACACGGGAGCGACCGAGAGACGGTCGACACGGGAGGGTGGGAGATATGGCCAGGGGGACGTCTGTGAGTGACCTCGGAGGTTTGTCTCTGCCGTTTGTTTGTGTGTTCATGTTCAAGCTGGGGATGTCTCGACTCGGTACCACAAGGGGGAGGGTTGGCTCGTGAGAGCATGCTGGGGTGCATAGGGACGTGATGAGTGATCGTGTCGGGCTACAAGGTGAATGCTGTGGGGGGCAGATCGGAGGATGTGAGGGGCGGAGGTAGAGGAGAGACGGAGTGGGCGGGCTGGTCGCGAGCCGGAGAGGGCGTGAGTGGTGGAGGCAGGGCACGGGTGGGAGTAAGTAGGTGTGGATAGGGTGGATAGGCGGAAGTGGGCTACGAGCTGTTGGATATCTCAGTACAGCGGGAGTCGGGCGAAGGGGCAGGACTTGGACTAGTTGCATGCGTGGGTGGGAATCGGCGTATATGTTCTCGATGGGGGGGATTGTGGCGTTAGGAGTGATGAGAGTGTACATAGAGCCGAATATGAGGGCTAGAAGGATGATAGGGTATTTATTGGATTGCCATTGGTAATGACTAAGGTCGAGACGGCAATGGGGCCGGTACACTAGATAGCGCTGGCACACGCAGGGTATTGGGCTGTCGATTGCGATGCTTGTAGAGTATGCACGGGAGCGGAGTCGCGTCTTATCTCATGTGTCTTCGGGTCGTCACGCACGACGAATACTAGCGAACGTGGTGATTGGCCTTGTCGTAGGTGGAGATGGTAGAGAGTGACGTATGTTGTGAATAAGTAGTATATGCGCCAAGGATGGAGCTTGAAGATAGCGAGGAGTTAATGTGCGTATGCGTGGTAGTGACAGAGTGGGATGACCGGAGTAAGTGCAGTCGTTAGTTTTGGGTACTGAGTATTTGACATGGGTCAGTGGAGAGCTCCAAATTGTCAGCCCTCAGTTACTGCAATCGATACTTACTCTGTTTGTTTTGTTTACATGTAATAATATACTATTATTATTATTATTATTATTATTAAGTCATTGATACATGGGACAAAGTTAATATTAGTAATAAGTAGCAGTAGTTGAAGTATTCATTATTCTGTGCTGTATTGTCTTTTTTCTCAATGGGACAGGTGATGATAATAATAATACATTATTATTATTATTATTATTATTATTAAGCCATTGTTACATGGGACAAAGTCAATATTGGTAATAAGTAGCAGTAGTTGAAGTATTCATGATTCTGTGCTGTATTGTCTTTTTTTCTCAATGAGACAGGTAATGGTAGTAATAATAATAATATATTACTATTATTATGCCATTGATACATGGGACAAAGTTAATATTAGTAATAAGTAGCAGTAGTTGAAGTATTCATTATTCTGTGATGTGTTGTCTTTTTTTCTCAATGGGACAGGTGATAATAATAATAATATACTATTATTATTATTATTATTATTATTAAGTCATTGATACATGGGACAAAGTTAATATTAGTAATAAGTAGCAGTAGTTGAAGTATTCATTATTCTGTGCTGTATTGTCTTTTTTCTCAATGGGACAGGTGATGATAATAATAATACATTATTATTATTATTATTATTAAGCCATTGTTACATGGGACAAAGTCAATATTGGTAATAAGTAGCAGTAGTTGAAGTATTCATGATTCTGTGCTGTATTGTCTTTTTTTCTCAATGAGACAGGTAATGGTAGTAATAATAATAATATATTATTATTAAGCCATTGATACATGGGACAAAGTTAATATTAGTAATAAGTAGCAGTAGTTGAAGTATTCATTATTCTGTGCTGTATTGTCTTTTTTCTCAATGGGACAGGTGATGATAATAGTAATACATTATTATTATTATTATTATTAAGCCATTGTTACATGGGACAAAGTTAATATTGGTAATAAGTAGCAGTAGTTGAAGTATTCATTATTCTGTGCTGTATTGTCTTTTTTCTCAATGGGATAGGTGATAATAATAATAATAACGTTCCTTAATATACTCCTGCCTTTGTTCTGTGTATTTTAATATATTCATTTTAATATTTTATTTTAATTTTAACCAAGTTCTATCAAGCCTTGAGCAAATTATTATTATTAACTTTATTTGTACTCCGCCACCATCTCCGCAACGGGGACTCGGGGCGCCTGACATGAGGACAAGCCCTAAAATACAACACAACACAATAAAGTACAGAATATAGAAAAAAACAAAAGTTACATCAGAAAATAATCACAATGGCAAAATAAAGCAAATTCACACAAAATAAAATCTAACAGGATGGGCAGGCCAAATGGACATGATAAAATAATTAAGCCCTGGGTGAGGGAAGCCCAAGAATGATAAAAACAGTGGGACAAGGCTTTCAATTTAGGACGGGGGAAAGTGCATCGTAAAGGTGACACTAAAGGTGGGGCAAGCAGGAATGGGATAAATGGTCACTCTCCAAAGGCACATCAAAAAAGCCAGGTATATTATTATTATTACTATTATTATTATTATTACTAGCCGCCCCCTTCCACATGTTGCTGTGGCCCAGTCTGTTTATATGTGTGTTTTGTGTGTATATATTTGTGTATATGTGTGTTTGCATATGTATTTGTGGTTTTGCGCATGCATTGCAATGTAATTTTTGTGTTTGTGTATATATGGGGTTTTGTGCATGCGTTGTAATGTGTTTTTTGGCTTTTTAAGTCCCTTCCGCTGTGTTTTTCAGTGTTTGAATGAGTGATGGTCACTCGTTGGCCTGATAATTGTATTGTGTCCAAATTTGGTGTCAATTTGCCCAGTGGTTTTTGAGTTATGTTAATTCCACAAACAAACAAACATTACATTTTTATTTATAGACTAGCCGCCCCCTGCCACACGTTGCTGTGGCCCAGTCTGTGTATATGTCTTTTGTGTGTGTATATATTTGTGTACATGTGTGCTTGCATATATATGTGTGGTTTTGTACATGCGTTGTAATGTAATTTTTTTTGCTTTTTAAATTTCTTCTACCCCCCCCCCCCCCCCGTGTTTTTATGAGTGATGGTCACTCATTGGCCTGATAGGTGTTATTGTATCCAAATTTGGATCAATTCGTCCTGTGGTTTTTGAGTTGTGTTAATCCCACAAATGGACATTACATTTTTATTTATATAGATTAATAATTAATGGACTTTACTTTCATAAAATGGCAATTGAAATTGAATCCAGACAAGGCAGAGGTACTCCTTGTCAGCCAGAAGGCCGAAAAGGGTAAAAGGTTACAGCCTGTGCTGGATGGGATTACATTCCTCTAAAGGTGCATGAGCCTAGAACCCCAGGTTTCGGCGTTGGCCAGGGCAGCATTTGCACAATTAAAGCTTGTGTGCCTGTTGCGTCCATACCTTGAGAAGCCAGATATTGCCATGGTCGTCCATGCTCTTGTTACATTGAGAATAGATTACTGCAACGTGCTCTATGTGTGGTTGCTCTTGAAGACTGTTCAGAAGCTTCAAATAGTCCAATGGATGGGAGCCAGATTTCTCACCGGAGCAGGATACAGGGAGCACACAAGCCCCCTGTTACATCAGCTCCACTGGCTGCCAGTCTGCTTCCAAGCAGCCCAGTGGTTCTTAAACTGTGGTCCACGGGGACGAAAATCTGGTCCATGAGCCGCCATTCTCTTTATTTATTTTATTTCTGCTCCTTTCACGCTGCCTGCCACTCCTTTCCTGTCACTGACCATGACATATGTTCTGTATCAAAACCTAGAGCTAATATGGTCTATCCAATGCAATTTTCTGAATCCTCACCCCAAACTGAATCTGTAGTTGACCAAAAACTGATTTGTAACTCTTTGGGTACTAATGCTGGAGAGTGGTCCCTTGTCAAATTGGTCCCTGGCCAAAAAAAAAAGGTTGGAAACCACTGCTTTAGCCTATAAAGCCCTTAATGGTTCCGGCCCAGCTTACCTGTCCGAACGTATCTCCCTCTATGAACTATCACTGAGGTTAAGATCTTCTGGGAGGGCCCTGCTCTTGGTCCCACCTCCCTCGCAAGTGCGATTAGTGGGAATGAGAGACAGGGCCTTCTCAGTGGTGGCTCCTTGGCTGTGGAACTCTCTCCCTAGTGAGATTAGATCAGCGCCCTCCCTCCTGGCCTTCAGAAAGAAGATAAAGACATGGTTATGGAACTAAGCTTTTGGCTAGTAAAGTAACACAATACAAGAAATATATATGGAGTGTGGGCAATCGACATTTGGAATTTTCCCTTTCTACAAGTTTGGTTCATGTGATTTTAATGTTTTATTAGGTGATTTTAATTTTTATGTCTAATTGTTGCTTTATATTTAATTATCTTATTGATTTAATGCTTAGTTATATGTTTTGGCAAGATTTATGATTTGGTTTGTGTGTATGTGAAGCATTGAATTTTATAATTATTTGTTGTAACCGCTTTGTGTTCCACCTGGGTTGAGAAAAGCTGTATATAAATACAGTAGATAAATAACTAAACATTATAATAACAACGATATTATTGTTAATAATGTAGATGTGGTTTTGCAGTGGGTTAAACCCATGTGCTGGCTGGACTGCTGACCTGAAGGTTGGGTTGCTGACCTGAAGGTTGCTGGTTCGAATCCACTACACAGGGTGAGCTCTGTCAGCTCTAGCTTGCAGGGACATGAGTCAGTTCTCTCACACCAGAAGCAACTTGCGATTTGTACTCAAGTCTCTTCTGACACGATAATTTTTTTAAAAGATAATAATAATAATATTGTTGTTATTATATTGCCATTTTATGAAGGTGAAGTTCATTTCCCCACTAGATCTTTTAATCCCTTCAGGTAGGCTTGGGCTGGGGATTGTTGTCATGATGCCAGTATACTTTGGGCTAAGGAAGTTCTCTTGGTTGTATCAATTACTAAAATCTGCCTTTATTGTACTTGGCACCAACAAAACACAGCTGGTCTTATTTTTCTAGGAGACTAATTTTCTGCCACTTTCAGATCTCTTGCTTAGGAAGCTAGCCAGATAAAATGTCTAAGGACGAGGACAAAGGGATCCCCGTGAAGGTGGCCCTGAGGTGCCGCCCGCTTGTTCCTAAAGAGATCTCAGAGGGGTGCCACGTTTGCTTATCTTTTGTCCCTGGAGAACAGCAGGTGAGGAGAGTTTCTATCTGGGTTGCTCTGTGTGCTTTAATGTGGGGTTGTTCAACTGCATTTCTCATCATCACGGTCCAGCATACCCACTGAAAAAGAAATGAGGTGGAAAGTTTCCAGTGCTGCAGTATATTCTTCAACGGAAATTTGTTCTCATCATATATATATGTGTACTATGAACCATTCTGGCGGGAGGTACTCTCAATATCACCTTCTTCACAGGTGTGGCTAATGAGGGCGAGGGACAGGGCCTTTTCAGTGGTGTCCCCTCGGCTGTGGAACTCCCTTCCCAGTGAAATTAGATCAGCCCCCTCCTATCCTTTAGAAAACAAATTAAAACCTGGCTATGGAAATAAGCATTTGGAAAGTAGCGCAGGATTATATACAACTACAAAGTAAATGACAATATGATTGGAACAGCTTCTGGATTATACTTAATGCCAGGGGAAACTTTTACCTTTCTGTGTGTGATTATCCATTGTTATCTGGACTGGTGTATAGCAAGTCATATTAGAAGCAGTAAATATATAATTTATTGCATTGACAACACTAGTGCTCAAAGCAAAAGAATGCACTGCTAAATTTGTTTCTCTTTCACAACACCTCTTCCTTCTAAATCAGTGACAAGTTAAATTGTCAAAATGAAATATAATAATTTGCTATGATCACTGATTTTCACATCCATACTTTGGTTAATCAGAATATTTGATTCGTTACCCTGAAACAGATGTTTCACAACTGGAAATGGAATTGATAAGTAGTGCAGAAAATGAATGAAACTGAAGGTATTACAGGTATACCTCAGCAAAATAAAAATACGCCAGGTACAGTCTTAAAAGGTTAGCATTACTATGACTTGAGTTAGGGATTTTTTGGCTAAATATAATCTCACTTTTTGCTTCCTCACAGGTAATCCTAGGGAAGGACAAACCTTTCACATATGATTATGTTTTTGACCCTTCTACTGAGCAAGAGGAGGTCTTTAACACTTGCATCGTTCCCCTCATAAAGGGAATTTTTAAAGGTGAGAACAACAGAGACAAAATTATGATGGGCATCTTCATGAAGAGGATTGTATCCTGAAAGCAAAGTAATAGCCATAGCTTAACAGTTTTGATGATGTATATATCTGAAAATTTGAATTTCTTTAAAAGAGTGTCTTACTTCTGACTGGAGATAAGAACAAAATAAGCCTTCTATTCAAATGGAGAAGAAAGTTGGTTTCTTTCCTACAAAGGTGTAGCCTCTGATTATAAAATTCTAAATAACCTTAGCAGTAAGAGGTTATTTAACCTTAGCAGTACGAGGTTATTTACACTTGAGGTTATTTACACTTGAGCAACATGTAGGTTGCCCAATTGAAAATATGTGGATMTGGGGAAAGAGCAGGTATTCCCAGTGTGCTTCTCTTTTATCATTTAGACCAGGGATCCTCAAACTTTTTAAACAGAGGGCCAGGTCACAGTCCCTCAAACTGTTGGAGGACCGGATTATAATTTGAAAAACATGAATGAATTCCTATGCACACTGCACATATCTTATTTGTAGTGCAAAAACACTTAAAGACAATACAATAATTAAAATGAAGAACAATTTTAACAAATATAAACTTATTAGTATTTCAWTGGGAAGTGTGAGCCTGCTTTTGGCTGATGAGATAGGATTGTTGTTGTGTGCTTTCAAGTTGTTTCAGACTTAAGTTGACCCTGAGTGAGGGCCGGATAAATGACCTTGGAGGGCCGTATCTGGCCCTCGGGCCTTAGTTTGAGGACCCCTGATGTAGACAGTAGAAAAGGAGGCAGCCGTCCTCATATATAGTGACTAACTTTCTTTTCTGGTCTCAATTATCAAGGATATAATGCTACTGTTTTGGCCTACGGACAGACGGGGTCTGGGAAAACATATTCCATGGGAGGAGCATATATAGCCAGCCAAGAGAACGATCCCGTCGTCGGAGTCATACCCCGAGTGATAAAACTTCTCTTCCAAGAAATACAAGCGAAAACGGACTGGGACTTTTCCTTGAAAGTCTCTTATTTAGAGGTAGAAGCCATTTATACTTTCCCTAAACTAATAGCTTAAGACAGAGGCGGGATGGGCATCTGTCAGGGTGCTTTGATTGTGCTTTTCATGCATGGCTGGGGTTTGGACTGAATGGCCTATGGGGCCTCTTCCAACTCTGTGATTCTGTAATGAATTAGTGAGTTTGTTTTGAAATCCTTGGGGAGATCATTATTTGGCTGAGTTAAGGTGCCTCACGATAAGAAAAACCTGGCAAATTGGCTCATCAGGCATATTTGAACTTAAAATGTTTTGTCTTTAAGGTACTTTTTAAAGGATTCACAGGTCTGATGCTTATTCTTAGAGCAAGTGATTTCCATGATTTTTGGAATGTGTGATTATAACGTTTAGATTAATATGTTTTTAGTTCCATGTTTTAATGTTAGTTTTATGATCTAATTGATAGTTGTATGTTATTGTTGTTTTTTGTTAGGTTTCATATGTATGAAAGGCATTAAATTTTGCTATACATATGTTAGAAACCACTGAGTCTCTCCTGGGGTGAGAAAAGAGGTGTCCAGGTGAAATAAATAAGTGCTATTCTGAAATCATTAAATGTGAAAAATTAGTATACCTTTTAAGAATATCATGTAAGAGATCTCTTTATGAGAACAAGGCATTGAATGATTATTCTTTGCAACTTTTAGCATGGAAAAGGGACAGCTTGCGTTTTCAAAATAGAAAAATAATGTGAAGCAAAGGACTGAAACAGCATTTTTGTCAGTTTTAAAGCTGAATGTTTTAAGTAGGCAACAAGCCAATTAGATTATTAACTAAGTTTGCCTGGGGTATTGATCTGGTTAGCAGTTCAAAGTCGGTTGTGGACTTAAAAGTGTTTAGCATATGCTTCTCATACGCTGCTGAGGCAAGGAAGAGCTCAATCTCCCTCTCAGACTTTCAGCAAAAATTCCAAATGTGGTAGAGGAGAAACACTAGGATCCACAGTCACTGGAGGTTCTGCTGTCATGAATACATTTTAAAGATTCTTTTTATTTCAATTTTCAATGTGAGAGGGTATATCAGAACTTTTATACTTTTGTGCAAATAATGACATTGGACGTACAGACATACAGATTCTATGTAGCTACAATGGATTCACAAGCAACCTAGTTACATTGGCTAACAAACAAAGGGAGGTTACATTTTTATTCTGCATTCACATAAACATTCATTTATCCTCATGCTTCCAAATATTACCATATCCTTTTCTCCCTCCTTGGAGAAGCACCTTCTTAGGCCAGACTGCTTCCTTGCAAATTTGCCAATGCACCAAAACTTCTAAAATGCCAAAAACGCCAAAATGAATTCTCTTTCCCTAAGATCAAGGCTAGGATCAGAAAGGACTCCTTGGAAATGTATCATGACAATACTTCCAAAATTACATTCCCTTGAGAAAAGGAGGCCAAGTGTCCAGAATTCTGCTTTCCGTTGCAGATTTGACACTCCAAGGTACACCATCTCTTTCCATAGAGCATGGAGGGTGAACAGCGCTGCTGTCTGTCACACTTTTTGGATTGTAATAAGGTTTTTCAGCCCTGTTTTTAGGCTGAAAAAGCCCTCCTCAGCTTATACTCAAATCAAGGTTATTTATTATTTTACTCTATTATTATTATTATTATTATTATTATCATTATTAATATTTATTGTTGTTATTATTACATTTATTTTTACTCTCATTATTATTACATTTATTATTTTACTCTATTATTATGTTTATTACATTTATAATTTTACTTTATTGTTATTCGAAGTATACATAAGCCAATTTACATTGAAGAAGGTTAGAACAAGGGTTTAATCAGAGTTGGATAGACTTATCTTAAATTACAGTTTTATGTAATTATTCATACACATTTAACCTGTGGATGCCTCAATTAACGTAATTTTATTGGTATGTATTTTTATTTTGAAATTTACCAGTAGCTGCTGCATTTCCCACTGTCAGCTTAAACTCAAGTCAATATATTTTCCCAGGTTTTTTGTGGTAAAATTAGCTGCCTCGGCTTATATTTGGGTCGACTTATACTTGATTATATACGGTAATTTCCTTTAGAGTCAATTCAGTTTCTAGTCAGCAAATGTTGACAGATATAAACAGATGCAAACATTTATCTTATCAATGTCAGCAGTCCAGCAACTTTTAATTACAGTCCATGAATTCTTCATCTCTTTCTTGTAGTTTTCCAAGCCTCCAATCTTTTAAAATGGTGTCTCCAAAATTATTGGCTCTCATTCATGCAACTTTCATACAATTCCATTCAAACTATACATCATATTTCACCATGACACTGTATCCATCGATCCTGCACTTGTTAGCTTGAAAATAAATTCCTTTGTTTGGTAGTGTTTGCTTACAAAAAAGTGGGCTTGAAGTTGCAACTGTTTTGTGTTGATTATTTTTTTGCCTGCTACTTTCTACTTTTCAGATCTACAATGAAGACATCTTGGATCTCTTGTCTCCAGCCAAAGACAGGACATCTCAAATCAGCATCCGTGAAGATCCCAAGGAAGGCATCAAGGTAGACTTGCTCTGCCATTGTTTGTTGGGGTTTCTTTCAGCGAATTGCATGTGAAATGTCACATAAATATGGCTCATGGTGTCAAAATGGATTTCAACTTGTTCTTTAATACACACAGGCAAACTGCCTTCTCTAAGTGTGGTAGACATATGTGAGCTCTATTCTCTAATGAAGATGAGAAAATAAAATAAGCACCTGCTGTTTTATCAACATTGCTCCCTTTATATCTTCTAAAGCCTCTAAAGTTGTGGAAATGGATACACTGAGCCAATTTGCTGGTCTTCCAAAAATTGGAAAGCAATATAATTTTAGCTAATCAATGTTCCTTCTCATTCAGAACTCATCTGAACAACTGATTTCATCTGAAGTCTTTCAGTTTCAGTTCTATATCTTGTAGTAAGATTGCCAGTTATAGACTCCTTTATACCGGGGGGCACCAAGGCAACAATGTAAGACTTGTAGGGTTTTGTAGATAACATAAACAAAGGGATCTCCAAAGGCAGAATAACAACTTCTTCCTCATCTTCTGTTTTGATCCAGATCGTCGGACTGACAGCATATGAGGTGACTAATGCCCAAGAGACAGTCTCTTGCCTGGAGCAAGGAAATAACTCCCGAACGGTGGCTGCCACAGCTATGAACACCCAGTCGTCACGCTCTCATGCCATCTTCACCATGTGCATTGAGCAGAAAAGCAAGACGGACATGTAAGCAAAAGCATCCAGAAACTTGCTCATTTGTAATTTTGCCCGTTACAACTAAATTTGGACTTGTGTCGTGTGTGTATGCACTCATACAAAACACCTTTATTCTTGGGAGAAGAGGAATGTTGGGAGAAGGCTATCTGGACTTGATGTCTGAGTCAAAAAACAACAAAGAACCTTGAAAACGAATGTTCTGTTGTCAGAAGGTCTCTTTGCACCTTTGCAGTGCTAGTAAAGGTACAGGTTTCCCTTTAAAATTAAGTCTAGTTGTGCCCGACTCTGGGGGATGGTGCTTATCTCTATTTCTAAGCCAAAGAGCTGCCGTTGTCTGTAGACGCCTTCAAGGTCATGTGGCCGGCATGACTACCTGGAGCACTGTTATCTTCCCGCTGGAGTGGTACCTATTGATCAACTCACATTTGCATGCTTTCAAACTGCTAGGTTGGCAGAGGATGGGGCTGACAGTGTGAGCTCCCCCTGCTCCTCGGACTTGAACCGTTGATCTTTTGGCCAGCAAGTTCAGCAGCTCAGTGGTTTAACTTGCTGTGCCTCTGGGGGCTCCTAATTGAGAAACTATTATAAATACTTTCTGTTGAGTAACTATTGTCATCCATTTTCCATACATTGTCTTTTGACTGAACCACCTTATTTCTGGCTTAGGAACACCAGTTTTCACTGCAAACTGCATCTGGTAGACCTGGCAGGTTCTGAACGGCAGAAGAAGACCAAAGCAGAAGGTGATCGACTCCGGGAAGGTTAGTAGGATAGGATTCTGACAACAAAATTGGGTTTGTGTTTAGGAATTCCACCATCAATGTCCTCACGTTTAAAAAATTGTTTTTGTTCCTGGTTTTCATCTCTTTGTCAATTGAAATACATAGTTTAGGACTGATGATTTTGCAGATACAGAAGTAATTTTTAAATTATTTTTGTGTTTTGCCGTTTCCATGTTTTACTCTATCTTCTTTATGAAAAAGCATTTACTTGAGATTTCTCCATCTTGGTTTTTTTTCTATATAGGAATCAATATTAATAAAGGGCTTCTCTGCCTGGGGAATGTCATCAGCGCTCTTGGGGATGAGACCAAGAAGGGCAGTTTTGTCCCTTATAGGGATTCCAAACTAACCCGCCTTTTGCAAGGTAAGGCTGGAACACAAGACCTACTGGGAATCATCTTGGGGCTCTGAAAACCTGTTCTTCCCATTGCCAAAGGGTTGGGGTTAGGGTTGGTGGGCCCTTTAGAGAAACTTTTGAAACAGAGGTCGGGTGGCCCCTCGTCAAGGATGCTATAGCTTTGAATTGCTGCATTGACAGGAGGTTGTGAAATGGACCTTTGTTTCCCTTCTAACTCTTTGATTCTGTGAAAAATAGTAAAGCAAAACATAGATTTAGTTGCTGTCTTGTTGCTTTCTTATTCTCCAGATTCCTTGGGAGGCAATAGCCACACTCTGATGATTGCCTGCGTGAGTCCAGCTGATTCTAACATGGAGGAAACTTTGAATACCCTTCGCTATGCTGACAGGGCCAGAAAAATAAAGAACAAGCCAATAGTGAATACTGACCCACAGGCTGCACAGATCAACCAGTTAAGACAGCAGGTATTTTCCAGAATTAGGAAGGAGAGAGTTGCTGTGGAAATAAGGTTTCATTGCTGCTCTTGTTGTTTTTTTTGGAATTGCTGCCACAGAATCACAAACTATATATTCTTAGGTAAAAATGTCAGGACACAACGTTAAACATAATCGCATTCTTTCTTCTAGGTTCAAGAGTTGCAGGTCTTACTGCTACAGGCCCATGGAGGAACACTCCCAGTTTCTATTGGGTAAGGAATTGTTGGGCAAGTGGGCTTAATAACAATGGACCCTCCTCATAAAAGTGCAGCAGAGTAACTTATTAGCAGCAACGTGACCCAGCACCAGTAATCCAAAGTGATAAAAAGAACAAAAACACACAGACCAATGTGATCTCTTTCATAGGAGACTTCCCTTTGTAGCAAAATAATATGGTTGCACAATTTACAAGAACTAGGTTTTCATAAGACAAGTAAACAAATACATACGTAGTAGCTTTGCACACAGCAGCAGCCTTCATACAAGTGTGTAGATTTGCCAAATGGTACCAAAGAGCACCCCACAAAACATGGTAGTGTTTACTTATTCACACAGACAATCCCGAAGCCACACTGAGGATGATAACATTGACAGCATCACTTACAGATCCTCATGAAAATGTTTTTTTTTTATGGTTGCTTTCATATTCTGTTGATGTTGTTTTATTTTGTTTTATGATGTTGTTTATGTATTTCCTATTTTGTATTTTAATGTCTTATATTTTTTAAATTGTTGATTGGACTTGTCCCCGTGTAAGCCGCCCCGAGTCCCTCCAGGGAGATGGAGGCAGGGTACAAAAATAAAGTTATTATTATTACACTAGAGCTTTATCACACGAGGCTTCTCTCATACAGAGGTTTTCCTCACTCTCCTCAGGATGGGACTAGTTTTGGCCCACTGACTCTAACAGGCTTCAGCCTTCTCACTCTCCTCAGGACGAGACTAGCTTTGGCCCACTGACTCTAACAGGCTTCGGCCTACTAACACTTTCAGTGCTTGACTCACACTTTTGTAATCAAAATTACCCAGTTAATTTTTAACATTTCTGACAGGAATGTCTATCCATAATTGTAATTCTTTGCCCAGGAAGCAGTTGGCCCATGGAATTAAAGGCTGGTGGTTAATAGAGAGGTCTTTCATCTTTTCCTCCCATAAAATTAATTGCAGTACATCCTGCACTGCTTTGCTTAGATTTTGGTTAGAAAAAAGTGGTTTTCTAGCAGAAGATCCTTGCTAACACGTCTTTCCTTCTTAGTGTCAGTGGAGAGCCCTCAGAAAACTTGCAATCTCTGATGGAGAAAAACCACTTCCTTGCAGAGGAGAATGCAAAACTGAGCCGGAGCCTGAGTGAAGCAGCAACTCAGATTGCTCAGGTGTTGGAGAGCTACATTGCGGTAAGGCCCAAGATGCACTCAGAGTGGTTTGTCTCATATGACTGTGCATGGCTGTAATAATATCATTGTTCGTAATTCATTTTCTGTTTTTGGTAGGCGGAGCAGCAGAATGAAAAGTTGAACACCAAACTTGAACAGCTGCAGCAGCATCCTGTGTAAGTGTTACCCCTATACATGCTTAGGTGTTTGAATCCATAGAGCAGTTGCTATGGGACTCACCCCATGGAGACCAGGGCTGACAAATTCGGCATAGCCAGCAAAGCAATCATTGAGGGACAATGGGAATTGCAGTCCAGGTAGAGCTCCACATGTTGTCCACCTTTGATCCAGAACAGAGATGGGGAAATACATAAGGGCCAGCCAGGTCAGGATGAGAGTGTTTTGTTGATTATTTACATGCCATATATTAGATACGGATGTTCTAATTCTCACTTTGTGAAATTGAATTTCAGGGTAAAACTCAACTTGCAGAAGTTACTTGAGACTCTGGAGGACCAAGAATTAAAACAGCATGTGGAATTATTTTGTCAGCTGCAGGAACTGATTACTCGCTTGCCGGTAAGAGTCCTCAGTCAGGATATTTTATAGACTTAACAAAATACCGCAGTTTCATTGTCTTAAGATCATAAAACTTTGCAAGCCCTAAGATTGCAAAACTTGTCTTCTGGAGAGATTCAAAATGGGAAAATAGCTGTGTTTTGTTTGGGACTAGATCTTGCCAGTGTTAGAAATGTGCGAGGTCTCAGATTCTCCCAACCCCAGCAAGAGCTGGTCCAAAACAGAGGGGCCTGTAAGCTTTGTATCATACCTGGCTATGCCTTGCTTGCTTCCACAGAATGAAAACACGAATGGTGATACCGACATGGATACATCTGACCAGGATTCTAGTGCTGTAAGTAAGCCACTGGATGTCAAAGAATTTGACTTCAAGTCCAATGTGTATATATATATTCATTTAAAAGTTGAAAAATGTACCGATATATTTGAGTATAAGCCTAGGTTTTCAACCCTTTTTTAGGCTGAAAAACCCCCTTGGCTTATATTGAGTCAAAGTATTTTACTCTGCTGTTATTATTACATTTATTATTTTACTCTATTATTATTACTGCATTTACATTATTTTATTATTATTTTATTATGTTTATTATTTTACTCTATTGTTATTACATTTATTATTGTCCTCTAATATTACTGTTATTACATTTATTATTTTACTCTATTATTATTGGAAGGATACTTATGCACATTTACGTTGAAGAAGGTTATAATAATGGTTTAATCAGAGTTGGACAGTCTTATCTTAAATTTATGTAAATATTAAGATTTATGTAAATATTCAAAAACATTAAACTATGGATGCCTCTTTTTTTAAAAAAAATCTTTATTGTATTGTTAAAAACTATTTGTAATACATTTATCTTTACATTACTTTAGTTTCAATGCATTTTTTTCTTTCCACCCCTTAACCCTCCCCCCGGTGGCAAGTTGGTCCTTCTTCATTTATTCGAGCCATTGTTGCATGCTATCTAGTTTTTTTCTTCCAATGATCGTCTTCTGGTTTAGCTTCTTGTATCAAATTTTTAAAGGGAGACCATATTTCTTTGAGGAAAAAACCTATGGATGCCTCAATTAATGTAATTTCCCTACGTGGTCGTGCTGTGAATACGCACATATGGTACCTCTGCGCATGCGCCGCATCGCTCCGGAATCTTCAGTTAAATTTTTAAAAGGAATGGCGGTTGGCCCTGTGCCCACTCCCCATAATAGCATAAATAGTTTTTTTGTGGTAAAATTAGGTGCCTTGGCTTATATTCGGGTCGGGTTTTACTTGAGTATATATGATATACCCCAAAATTGCAACCCCCCCCCCCAAAAAAAAAGTTGGGTCAACTTTTATATGGGCCAGTGTAATACCTCTGTCCACTTCTGGCCTGAATGGATTAAGCTGTTTCTGTCCTTTTCCAGGTTTCGGAAGCTGATCTGGAAGCACAACGATCCTCTGATGAATACGCGGCCCAGCATGCTCTTCACCAGGCTCAGATGTCGAAAGAGCTGCTGGAGCTCAATAAAGCCCTGGCTATGAAGGAGGCCCTGGCGAGGAAGATCTCTCAGAATGACAGCCAGCTGGCGCCCATACAATGCCAATACCAGGTAAGAGCTGTCATCACAAAGAAGGTTTATCATAAGAGGATTTATAAGTATACATAGCTAGAGAGGCAATTTTCTGTGTCTTGCCAGTAGGAGCAACTCTTTATAATGAAAATGAAGGGTACATCTTTCTCTGTTGTGATTCCTAGGGCCCTTCCACACAGCCGTATAACCCAGAATATCAAGGCGGAAAATCCCACAATATCTGCTTTGAATGGGGTTATCCGAGTTCACACTGCCATATATTCCAGTTCAAAGCAGATAATTTAGGATTTTATTCAGCTGCATGGAAGCGGCCCTAGTCTGTTGACTTCTTTCTGGAGACCTACTTGATGCCAACACAGGCATTGTTTTGGTGACCTGTGATTCATGACCAAAGCCAGCTGTAGAGTTCTGAGTGTAGTGCGTGTGTGTGCGCGTGCGTATATACACATACATTCTCACACACGCTTTGGAAATGCTTGCATTCGTATGGCTTCTTCAAATTATTTCAATATTTATGTTTGGAAATTGTTTTATCAAGAGCAATATCAAGAATTTGGAAGAAGAGGTTTCCAAACTGCAGAAGGAGAAAGAAGAGCTGGTCCTGGCACTTCACATGTCCAAAAAGGATGCCAACCAAGCAAAGTAAGAGGCATACGTTCTGTGGAGTGGTGGTGGTGGTGGTGTTGGGGGGGGATTGGCAGGAAGAGAAAAAGAGGCTTGGCTGGGGACCCCTCTGAGGCTTCTCACAAAACTATGCTGCCCTTCCAGGCTGAGCGAGCGGCGTCGAAAGCGACTTCAGGACCTGGAAGGCGAAATGACAGATCTGAAGAAAAAACTGAAAGAGCAGTCAAAGCTCCTGAAGATGAAAGAGTCCAGCGAGCAGACAGTGCGCAAACTAAACCAAGAGATTCGGGTATGTAATGATCCAGAGTATCAGTGTGAAAAATATCAAGGGGATTGTGCAGAGTTTTACAAAATGGATTTGGGGTTTCTTCTTCTCCTTGCAATTAAGGAGGATAGTCTGCTATGGGGGCCAGTGTAGATCGTCAACTACAACAATAACAACAACAACTTTATTTTTATACCCATCTCCCCAAGGGGCCTTGGGGCAACTTACATGGGGCCAAGCCCAGTCATACAGAGTTAAAACATAGCATATAAAATATAACAATAACATAAAACAACATTATAACAATAATACAAACATCTTAAGCAACAACCTGGGGCATAACTTCTGCACAAATCCTCAACAAGGAGATAGACAGCTGAGTTAGCTGGCAGGGGAAGCCCTTCCTCTCCTTTGCCCTCTTTGTCTCTCTCTTTCTCTCCTCTTTGTTAGGCTGATACTTCTCAGGGACACATTAGGAAGAATTTCCTGACTGTGAGAGCCGTTCAGCAGTGGAACGCTCTGCCCCAGAGTGTGGTGGAAGCTCCTTCTTTGGAAGCTTCTAAACAGAGGCTGGATGGCCATCTGCCAGGGTGATTTGAATGCAATATTCCTGCTTCTTGGCAGGGGGTTGGACTGGATGGCCCATGAGGTCTCTTCCAACTCTATGATTCTGTGATTCTCTTTTTATTCAAAGTTTCCAGTCTGCATGGCAAGCATTCTGAGTCTTCGGTTTTCATTCACAGGACCAAACTGGGCACAAATACCCAATACACCCAAATGTGAATGCTAGTGGGGTTGGGCGAGGATTGATTTTGTAATTTGGGAGTTGTAGTTGCTGGGATTTATAGTTCACTTATAATCAAAGAGCATTCTGAACTCCACCAGCGATGGATTTGAACCAAACTTGGCTCCCATGACCAATGGAAAACACTGGAAGGGTTTGATGGGCATTGACCTTGAGTTTGGGAGTTGTAGTTCACCTATATCCAGAGAGCACTGTGGACTCATGCAATGGTGGATCTGGACCAAACTTGGCACAAATACTCAATATGCCCAAATGTGAATACTGGTGGAGTCTGGGGAAAATAGATCTTGACATTTGGGAGTTGTAGTTGCTGGGATTTATAGTTCATTACAATCAAAGAACATTCTGAACTCCACCAACGATAGAATTGGCTCAAACTTCCCACATGGAATCCCCATGACCTACAGAAAATACTGTGTTTTCTTATGGTCTTTGGCGACCCCTCTGACACCTCCTTGCGACCCCCTCAGGGGTCCCGACCCCCAGGTTGAGAAACACTGGCTTAGAGGAAGGACATTTGCTACAAACATGCAGTATTTGCCAGTCCTTTACCCCACAAACAAGAAAGAATAGATCCGCTTAAAAGCGGCCTTGTATGAACAGGCGCTTCTCCCCCCAATGCCTCCATTGAAGAGGCAAAACGGCGACAGAAACGCCATGGCTGAGGTGAACTTACCTGTACCATCTCCAACAAATCGAGTGAAACTGCCAAACAAAAAGGCAAAGAAAATTAAAGAACAGTCAGCTGGGCTCGAAAAGCATACAAAAATGCCGAAACAGCCCAAAAGTACTGCTGAGGTAGCAGTTGAGGTCTTGCGGCCTACACCCTTAAGGGCTGCAAATACAGGAGAAGGCACCATGCTTCCTCTTGAGATCGAGACCGAAGCAGAGCCAGGATCATCAAGAGCACGCCCCATGCGTGCGCAAGAGGAAAATGAAACTCAGGAGAGTTCGACCACTCCTCCGATGCCGACGCTCACGACGCCGGCTCCGCCCACAGCATGTACAAGTGAAACACAGGAGGAGCCAACGCAGGTTCCTCCCTCAGCCCCGCACATCCTCCCCACTGTTGTCATGTCTCCTCCTTCTGCCGCTATATGCGGCGGAAGAGAACTGGAGGTGGTTAGCCCGCCCACAGGCTATATATACTATTGAGGGGAGGTAAAGAGGTAAAAAGTCCATGTAGCTACATTTTGCCTGGAGAGAAGCAAAATCTTCATAGGTAGAAAGAAAAGCAGAAGAGACTGGAAAATGGAGAACGGCCACATGGCCAGCCCAGGGCAATAAAATACCTTTAAAAGAAAGTTCCCTCACAGAATTCCATTGCTACATCATCAAAGGGAAGAGACAGTGGCAAGGAGGAAGAGTAAAGACAAATCCCTTTTTGGGAAACATGCATAGGAATGTGAGGGTGGGGAAGCCATTGAATGCTAATCACCGGGAATGTGGCGCAGCTGGCTGAGTGTCAGCTGCATTAAGATCACTCTGACCAAAAGGTCATGAGTTCGAAGCCAGCCCGGGCTGGAGTGGGTGTCCAGCCATTGTGTAGCCCGTTGTCAACCTTTGCAACCCGAAAGACAGTTGCATCTGTCAAGTAGGAAAATAAGGTACCACCTTGTGTGGGAGGCTAAATTTAACTAATTTATGAGGCCATAAAGAAAAAAGACTCCGGGGAATGTGGAATGCGGAAGAACTTCATCGGTGTCGTTGATGGACGATGAAAAGCAGCAGCTCCCCTGGCGGCCAGAAAAAAAGTTAAATAGCCTCGGTGTATTTGTCTGTTAAATGTTGTTTGTCAAACTGGCATTGAATGTTTGCCATATATGTGTTTACTGTAATCCGCCCTGAGTCCCCTGCGGGGTGAGAAGGGCGGAATATAAGAACTGTAAATAAATAAATAAATAAATAAATACTCTAGCTACTCACTGAGGTCTGGAAACTTGATGACATAAGAGATTTGTGCAGTCCAGGGATAAAATGCAACAATTTTAATGTTTGTATATTTTTAGGTTTAAAATTGTATTGTATTGGTTTTATTGTAAGCCCATTTGAGTCTCTTCCGAGAGAGAAAAGGTGGGTTAACTACTAATAATGATTTTACTGTGACCAATTTTTTGTGACACAACATTAAGCCAAGGAGACCCCATTTGGTGTCAGGACTCACAGTTTAAGAAGTCCTGCTCTTTGAAACAGGGCAAGGTGATGTGCAGGAAAACTAGCAGAAGGACACCTTTTGCTGTCCAGGTACCTTTGAAGGCTTTTTTGACTGGGTTAGCTGTTAAGAGGAGTGTTGTTACCTTGGCACAAGGGTTGCCTCTGCATCAGTAGAACCTTGAAGAGATGAAGCATTTCAGTGTTTGTTCTCATTATTTTATGTGCAATGACCCCCAGCTTTTACTCCTCTTCTAGGCAATGAAAACCCAACGTGTTCAGCTCATCCGGCAGATGAAAGAAGACGGTGAAAAATTCAGACAGTGGAAGCAGCAGAAGGATAAGGAAGTTAACCAGCTGAAGGAGCGGGTGAGTTGTCACTCCTAAAAGCATTGTCCTTGGAAGGGAAGTGGCCTATACTCCAATCCATTCTCATCAATGACTGTTCTTCACATAGCCTACTACCTGAAAAGAAAAGTTTTGCACAAGAAGTGTTCTCAGTTGAGCTTGGGGAAACTGTCTCACAGGGGATGGAGCCTTGTTTTGTCTCTGCTATTCTCTCTCTCTCTTTTTGTCTAAATGCATAAGAAATGATACAGTAAAGCAACACTGGGTTTGAGTTTGGTTTGAACATGAATTGTCATCTTTGTTACTACTTGAATGTGAGATTTCAGGGGGCTTTGATTTGCAAGAATTCCCTATTTGCTGATTAGAGTTGTACTAATATGCATTTTATTTATTTATAAAATTGCATTGCGTATAGAAGCTCCATGTTATGACTTGCTTGTTGACAGCCAAAGTTGGAAGGGACGAACTCTTATGTGTCACACTTGTCTCATTTACAGGATCGCAAGCGGCAGTATGAACTGGTCAAATTGGAGCAAGACTTCCAGAAGCAAGCTAATGTCCTCAGGCGAAAGGCGGAAGAGGTGAAGGAGCCAGAAACACCTTTCCCTTCTCTTCTCTTCCCCTCCCAAACTCTCATTACCTAAAAATGATCTATAAGGTGTTCACAGGCTGGGGTGGGAGGTAGATTACAAAATCAGGACTACTTAATGATGCAAAAGAGAACCTTCCCGATCATGTTGGATCCTCACTTTGGATATACTGGTTAGGGCTACTGACAGTTGCAGTGGTACAAGACCTGGAAATCTACATAGTCTCCATCTCTGCTGCATTCATCTGGAATACCAGTCTCTAAAAGGATATCATTACACTTTAGAGCAGGTATGGGCAAACTCAGGACTGAGGGCCAGGTGCAGCCCCTTGGGCTCTTTTCTCAGGCCCTCCCTTCACCATCCTATCCTTCCCTGTTTCCTTCCTCCTTCCCTCCCTTCTTCCTTCCCTTCCTCCTTCCTTCCCTTCCACCCTTTCATCTTTCCGGCCTTCTCTCTTTCTTTCCTCCCTCCTTCCCCCTCTCGTTCCCTTCCTTCCCATTTGTTTTTCCTTTCTTCTTTCTTTCCTTGCTCCTTCCCTCCCTCCATTCTCTTCCACCCTCCCTTCTCTTTTTCCTTCCTTCTTTCCTCCTGGAGGATGATTATCTGGAAGAGGAGATGGTAGAGAGGGAACCTGAGAGCCATGTTTCAAGATTTGAAAGGGCATCCCATTGAGGAGGAGGAGGTAAACTGGCTTTCTGCTGCTCTAGAGACCAGGGGGCAATGGTTTCAAATGACAGAGAAAGAGATTTGACTGAAAAGATTAGAAAGCACTTCCTGAGAGTAAGAGCTGTTGGAGAGTGACATAGGTTGCCTATGATTGTGGTGAAGTCTCCTTATCTGGAGCCTTTTCCGCAGAGGCTGTCTATCTACAGGATCGCAAGCGGCAGTATGAACTGGTCAAATTGGAGCAAGACTTCCAGAAGCAAGCTAATATCCTCAGGCAAAAGGCGGAAGAGGTGAAGGAAGCCAGAAACATCTTTCTCTTCTCTTCCTCTCTCACACTCTCATTACCTAAAAATGATCTATAAGGTGTTCACAGGCTGAGGTGGGAGGTAGATTACAAAATCAGGACTACTTAAGGTTGCAAAAGATAGCCTTCCCGATCATGTTGGATCCTCCCTTTGGATATACTGGTTGGGGCTACTGACAGTTGCAGTGGTACAAGACCTGGAAATCTACATAGTTCCCATCTCTACTCCATTCATCTGGAATACTAGTTTCTAAAAGGATATCATTGCACTTTAGAGCAGGTATGGGCAAACTCAGGCCTGAGGGCCAGGTGCAGCACCTTGGGCTCTTTTCTCAGGCCCTCCTCTCTCTCACCATCCTATCCTTCCCTCTTTCCTTCCTCCTTCCCTCCTTCCCTTCCCTCCATCTTTCTTTTTTCCTCCCTCCTTCCTTCCCTTCCACCCTTCCTGCCTTCCCACCTTCCTTCCTTCCTTGTCTTTCCTTCCTTCCCTCTTTCCTTGCTCCTTCCCTCCCTCTGTTCTCTTCCACCCTTCCTTCTTTCCTCCTGGAGGATGTTTAGCTGGAAGAGGAGAAGGTAGAGAGGGAACCTGAGAACCATGTTTTAAGATTTGAAAGGGTGTCCCATTGAGGAGGAGGGAAACTGGCTTTCTGCTGCTCTAGAGACCATGGCACAAGGGAGCAATTGTTTCAAATGACAGGGAAAGAGATTTGACTGAAAAGATTAGAAAGCACTTCCTGAGAGTAAGAGCTGTTGGAGAGTGGCATAGGTTGCCTATGAGTGTGGCTGAGTCTCCTTCTCTGGAGCCTTTTCCGCAGAGGCTGTCTATCAGGAGTACTTTGATTGTGCCATCTTGCATGGCGGGGGTCGAACTGGATGGCCCTTGGGGGTCTCTTCCAATTCTAGGATTCTATTTCAGGAGTAGGTTAATACAGGGTCTAATTGATACACCTTTTCTCTCCTGTCCACCATCTCATCCTGATGAAGACCACCCCATTTGGGATCCAAATGTTTCCTGTCTTTCCTTCACTTTCTGCCTCTGAAAGAGAAGAGGAAGGGGAGGAAAGGGCAGGGAGGGGGCTTGGGGAGAACCCCCTCCTCACCCACCCACCCTGCTCCAGCCCTCCTTGCGTTCTCCAAGTTCGAAAGTTTACCCATGCCTGCTTGAGAGATTGAGAGTCTGAAGGTGGTAGCAGCAGCTGTCATAAGCTAAGTTTAGGTTCCCAGGTAACAAGTATATTAAGGCTACTTATTCTTATTTCTCTCAATCTCCTAAAACATGGAATGGATTTCTCTTAAAAGCTGTGTGGGGTTTCATATTGGAATAAAGGCAGGATATGTTGCCAGAGGCTTCTTAACATTTTTAAATGTTACCTTTTAAACATTATTTATCCTTCTCTGCTGGCTTTAAACCTTGATTTGGAATATTTCTTGCTGCATTTCTCCTGTGTTTGAGAATGGGTAAGATCACAATTCTTGGAGTATTTTGTCTTAAACTGTTCTCACCCTTCCTCCCAAGTATCTGAGGGTTGTGTCTTTTATTTCCCTCTTTTCAATCGTCTTCAAAACCTTTTGAGGCAAGACAAAGTGAGTGGTCCCAACATAATCCACTGAGCTGCATGTCTTAGGGAGGGATTTCAACCCATGACTGATTCTGATTCTTGCCCCTGTCCCTCTCTTCAGGCGGCCGCTGCTAACAAACGCTTGAAGATTGCTCTGCAGAAACAGCAAGACGCTGCCAGCAAACGGAAAGAGAACTCTAACCGTGGAGTCGAGGGACTTGCTGCCCGTGTGAAGGTTAGGCTGAGCAACTCGGTTTCTCCCTTTGATAAAATAGATTCTTATATACCTGGAAATAGATGAGGCTTAGCTGGTTCTTTCAAAATACCTTTTAACGGAACTTGCATGTTCATTAAAAAAAACAGGCCTAAAATGATATATCCTATCTTGATGATAGGGCCCTCTGGCGGTGCAGTGGGTCAAACCGCTGAGCTGCTGAACTTGCTGACTGAAAGGGGGGTTCAAATCCGAGGAGTGGAATGAGCTTCCACTGTTAGCCCCAGCTTCTGCCAACCTAGCAGTTTGAAAACATGAAAATGTGAGTGGATCAGTAGTGGAGCGCCATTATCTTCGGCTGGAAGGTAATGGCGCTCCATGCAGTCATGTTGGCCACATGACCTTGCAGGTGTCTAAGGACAACGCCAGCTTTTCGGCTTACAAATGGACATGAGTACCGACTCCCAGAATCGGACACAACTAGACAATGTCAAGGGGAAATCTTTACCTACCTTGATGATATACCCTAGTTTGTACCTCTGTGAACACCACATCACAAATGGTTCCAAGTTCATTTTAAGAGCTTTTGGGCTGTAAAATGAGGCCAGGTGGGTGGCTCTGGAGGATTGGGCAGCCCAGGGTGCAGACCTTTGTGAGATGCTTTCTTTACTCTGCATTAGAAGACAAAGGGAGGTATGTGGCTTTACCTTACTGTAACCCTTGGTTGTAACCTGATTTCTTTCTTATCCAGAATGATCTTGCGAATGAAATTGAGGTCCTTATTAGTATTGAAGAGGCTCAGCGCCACCTCAACGACCTCCTAGAAGACCGTAAAAATTTGGCCAAGGAAATCTCATCACTTAAAGAAAAGCGGGACGCAGGGGAGAACCTTCCTTCAAAATACAAGGTGAGGATTTGTTGCTAGTTTACACAGTAATGAAACATGAGGAGAACGAGAGTCTTGTTTTTTTTCCAGGACTGGACTTCCTATGCTTTGTGAAGGATATCCTATGATGGGTGATTCCTCCTTCTCTTTCCTGAAGTCAGGGCTTACTGAAATTGGTGTCGCTTTTTCAGCTGGCAGAGAAGGAGCCATCCAGGAATGGCTTAACTCCTGTTGCAGGCCGGGACGATTTTATCCTCTTTCAACACACATTCACTTTTATCTTACTCTTACATTAGATTTCTCAGAAGGACTGTCGTCTTGGGCCTTTCACAAAGTGTTCAAAGCCCTGTATAAGCCTCCTTTTGAACTGCTTAGATTTATTGAGCTCATACTTCTTTCTATCAAGACCTTTTTTTGGTTGTAATTATTTCAGCCAGAAGGGTTTCAGTGCTTGGTCCCATATCTCATTGTGATTTTTTAATAATGGTTTTTATTATGATTTTCAGGTATGCAAATTTACATTAAAAAGGCTGTAATCATGTGAATTTGATGCTGCATTTCATTTTATTCATCCCATAGTGCAGGGACCCTCAGACTTTGTAAACAAAGGGCCAGATCACAGTCCCTCAAACTGTTGGAGGGCCGGATTATAATTTGAAAAAAAAAAAGATTGAATTCCTATGCACACTGTAAATATCTTATTTGAAGTGCAAAAACACTTAAAAACAATACACTAATTAAAATGAACAATTTTAAGAAATATAAACTTATTAGTATTTCAATGGGAAGTGTGGGTCTGCTTTTGGCTGATGAGATAGGATTGTTGTTGTTGTGTGCTTTCAAGTCGTTTCAGACTTAGATTGATCCTGCGCGAGGGTCGGGTAAATGACCTTGGAGGGCTGTATTCGGCCCCCGGGCCTTAGTTTAAGGACCCCTGCCATAGTGAGTCCTTTATTTTTTTCTTGCGCAACACATTCCTTGGGAAATAATGGCACAAGCTGATGTAGAAGAGTGCTAAAACTATATGCCAGGCATATGTATATGAACACTATAAGTGCCGGGCTTTAGGACAGTGGGTTAAACCGCTAGCTGCAGAAAATCTTTCTGATTGAAACGTTGCCAGTTCAAGCCTGGGTTAGGATGAGCTCCTGGCCATCAGCCCAGCTTCTGCTCACCTAGCAGATTGAAAACAATAATGTGAGTAGATAAATAGGTACTGCTTTAAGCAGGGAGGTAATAAAAGGCACCCATAAGGACATGCTGGCGGTCTATGGATTGGATTACTGTAATGCGCTCTACAAGGGGCTGCCCTTGAAAACGGCTCGGAAATTCCAACTGGTTCAACGGGAGGCGGCCAGGATGTTAACTGGCGCTCCTTACAGAGAGAGGTCAATCCTCCTGTTTAAGGAGCTCCGTTGGCTGCCGTTTACCTATCGAGCCCAATTCAAGGTGCAGATGCTTACCTACAAAGCCATAAACGGTTTGGGACCTGCCTACCTGCGTGACCGCATCTCCGTGTATGAACCCATGCGCTCCCTCTGTTCATCCGGAGAGACCCTGCTCACGATTCCACCTGCGTCGCAGGCTCGTTTGGTAGGGACGAGGGACAGGGCCTTCTCTGTGGTTGCCCACCGACTTTGGAACACCCTCCCCAAAGACATTAGACTAGCACCCACGTTGGCAGTCTTTAGCAAGAACTTGAAGACCTGGCTATTCCGATGTGCCTTTCCAGAATAGGATAACCTCCAGCACTATGTCCCAGAAGCACTTTATTGAGTTTAAGACTCTGTACATTGCACTTGCCCAGAATCCCAACATATCACCTCTTACACCCAGCACTTTTTTTAACCTGTACCCTTCATTGGCCCGGCCCTGGTTTTATTGCATAATAGTGTAATGTTTTGTTTCTGTTATTGGTTATGTTTTTAATTTGCTTGCATTGTATTGTTATTGTCTGTTGTTGTGCTGAGGCCTTGACCTTTGTAAGCCGCATCGAGTCCTTCGGGAGATGCTAGCGGGGTACAAATAAAGTTTAATAATAATAATAATAGGTTCTTGTGGGTTTTTTCGGGCTATATGGCCATGTTCATGGCCATGTAGCCCGAAAAAACCCACAAGAACCTAGTGATTCCGGCCATGAAAGCCTTCGACAATACAATAATAATAATAATAATAACAAAGCTCCTTGGAATGGAAGATGGAGCGACAGCACCTCCCCATGGCCAGAGTCGAGCACAGCCTCCAAGATACTGGAAATAGGATGGGAAAAACTACCTTTACCTCTGTTGTGTTGTCTGTCCTTGTTAATTGTATAACCGGCATAGAATGTTTGCCATATGTGTGTTCTGTAAGCCACTCTGAATCCCCTTCGGGGTGAGAAGGGCGGGGTATAAATACTATAAAAAAAGAAATAATAGCTGCTTGGACCCCATCTATCCCAGTGGGTTGAATCAAAACTGGAAGTTTTCATTTTCATTCTTATTTTTTCTTTTTCTTTTTCTTCTTTTTTGTCAATGCCAAGGCGATAAGGGGAGAACAAAATACAATTTGCCTGTTTGGAGAGATCAAGTGCACTACAGTCTATTTCATGATTTGAGTGCCAAGAATGACCTTACTCCTCTTTTTAAAATGGGGTGCCACAAAGTGTCATAAAAAGGGGGTTGATGTGCATGTGCAATTCATCCAACATTGCCCCTACTACTGGATTTAAGAGGTCACTTTTAACCTGGGATCTTTTCTCACCCCTTTCTTCCCAGAGACGCACCTTTTCGTGTAATGATGCAGATATGAACTATTCCCTCACCAACCAAATTCAGAGCCTGGAAACAGAGATGGAGCTCAGGTACAGGGTTGTTTGAATTTTCAGATGTGCAGATACACAGGATGAGATACCATAAGGCAGGCATGGTACACTTCAGTTCTCCAGGTGTTTAAGACTTCAATACTCACTATTCCTAACAGCCTATCGGCTGTTAGGAATTGTGAGTATTGAAGTCCAAAACACCTGGAGGATCAAAGTTTGCCGATGCCAGGTTGAAACCATGCAGCAGACAGCTTAAATGGGCTGGGGAATTAAAGTTTTTAGCTTCACTTGGTTGGGGCAGAGGTCCTTATTTCCTTTCCTAGTGAATCCAAATTCCCCAAAGAAGAAAAATGCTAGCACATTTGGGCTGCAGCTCATTAAACAAGTTGGGTTTTAGCTGGACTGATGCCCTGGGTTCTTGGTGTTGCGCGAGTGGGTTTATTAACAAAAGACCCTCCTCATAAATGCATAGCAGAGTAACTTAGCAGCAGCAGCGTGACCCAGCACCAGGATCCCAAAAGTGATAAAAGGACAACACAGACCAATGTTATCTCTTCCACAGGAGGCTTTTCTTTGTAGTAAAATAATATGGTTGCACTAGTTACAAAAATAAGGTTTATATAACACAAATGAACAAATACATAGTAGCTTTACACACAGCAGCCTTCACACTGGAGCTTTCTCACGTGAGGCTTCACTCACACAGAGGTCTACCTCACTCTCCTCATGACGACACTAGCTTTCTCCCACTGACTCTTAACAGGCTTTGGCCTACTCACCCTCCTCAAGACAACACTAGCTTTGGCTCACTGACAGGTTTTGGCGTACTCACTCTCCTCGGGACAACACCAGCTTTGACCCACTGACAGGCTTTGGCCTATTCACCCTCCTCAGGACGACACTAGCTTTGGCCCACTGACTCTAATAGGCTTTGGCCTGCTTGCTCTCCTCAGGACGACACTCCCTTTGGCCCACTGACTAACAGGCTTCGGTCTACTCACCCTCCTCAGGACGACACCCCCTTTGGCCCACTGACTCTTAACAGGCTTCGGCCTACTCACTCTCCTCAGGACCACACTCGCTTTGGCCCACTGACAAACAGGCTTCGACCTACTCGCTCTCCTCAGGACCACACTTGCTTTGGCCCACTGACTAACAGGCTTTGGCCTACTCACTCTCCTCAGGAAAACATTAGCTGTACACCACTGACTAACAGGCTTCGGGCCTACTCGCTCTCCTCAGGACGACACTAGCTTTGGCCCACTGACTCTAACAGGCTTCGGCCTACTCGCTCTCCTCCGGATGACACTAGCTTTGGCCTACTGACTCTTAACAGGCTTCGGGCTACTCACTCTCCTCAGGACAACACTAGCTTTGGCCTACTGACTAACAGGCTTTGGTCTACTCGCTCCCATCAGGATGACACTAGCTTTGGCCCACTGACTCTTAACAGGCTTCGGCCTACTCACTCTCTTCAGTGCTTGACTCACACTTTTGTAATCAAAAATACCCAGTTAATTTCTAATATTTCTGACCCTTGACACTTACATTCCTCACTTCCTCCAAAGGAGTGCCCAGATTGCTGATCTCCAACAGAAACTGCTGGATGCTGATGCAGGAGACCGCACCAAGCATCGCTGGGGGAGCATCAACACCCTCCCGGAAGCCAATTGCGCAATCAAGTACTTGATTGGTGAGGTAGGATTAACTTAGGAACAGAGAGGAAGGTTGGGGTGAAGATGAGGAGGAACACATGATGATCTGAACTTGGACAGAGGTTATGACATTTATATAATAGTGAAAAAGATAAAAAAAAGTATTGCATGTATAATAGAGATATTGTGTTAAGCTGTCCATTGGGAGGGAGGACAGAACAGGCATATTCAGAAGAGTTGTGGAAACCCACAACTCCCCAGTCCAATCCCTTTCATTGGAAACCTTATGCTGGATGCAAATTATTCAGAGGAAGTTGTTTTAATATACCACCTTTTCTCCTGTTTCCAAAGCTTACCTCCTCCAAAGTAGAGTACAGCAAATTGGAGAACCGCCTCCAGCAGAGCAAAGTCTCATGCGCCGGCCTGCACAAAATGCTGGCAGAGAAACAGAAATCAGCCGCCGAAATGGAAGCAGAGTACGAAAGCCAGCTAGTCAAGATGGAGCAGGAGCACCAAGAGAAGGTATCGACTACGATCATAAATGGAGGCAATTTTTTAAAACTGTTTAGCTTTTCCCATCATTAATGGTGGAAACCCCTGTCATGGAGGGATATAGGAAAGATGTCATCATTGAAGAGAGCAAGAGATTGAGTTAGATCCATTGCATGTTTAGTCATTTAAATGCCTTAAAGACCACAGATTTTGCTGGATCTTGAAAGATAACAGGGTCTGCTCTGGTTAATACTTGTATAGAAGGCAATGAATCCCAGGTCCTGTAGGCATTATTTCAGAATAAATAACTTGCAAAACCACTTCTTTTTTAAAAAAATTATTGAAAAATTTTATGCTTTACATCAGGGGTCCACAAACTTTTTAAACAGAGGGCCAGGTCACAGTCTCTCAAACTGTTGGAGGGCCGGGTTATAATTTGAAAAAAAAAATTATGAATTCCGATGGACACTGCAGATACCTTATTTGTAGTGCAAAAATCATTTAAAAACAATACAATAATTAAAATGAAGGAACAATTTTAACAAATATAAACTTATTAGTATTTCAATGGGAAGTGTGGTTCTGCTTTTGGCTGATGAGATAGGATTGTTGTTGTTGTTGTGTGCTTTCAAGTTGTTTCAGACTTAGTTGACCCTGAGCGAGGGCCAGGTAAACGACCTTGGAGGTGCGGCCCCTGGACCTTAGTTTGAGGACCCCTGCTTTATATAAAGAGGGGAGGGGGAGGGGGGATTTGGATGGGGGGGTTGTGGGGAAGGTGAAAATGTAAGAGTGGGGGGGGGGGAAGGGATTTTATAGGGAAAGAAGGGGATGGAGAGGAGGAAAAAAATTATGGGGCGGGGGGGGGTCTGTTCCTTCGTTCCTCTTAACAATGGGTTTAGCTTCCTGTTGTACTCTTCATTCTTCTTCATTCGAGTCTTTTACTTTCTAGCCGTGGTCTTTTTACGTGTTAAATTTTATATTATTATTATTATTTATTTTAAATTAATATTTTACTTTATTTTCTTTCATCTATTTCTGAGTATTCCCTGACCATGGAAAGCTTCTGAAATGCATGGGGTCACTATATTATTATTTATTATTATTTACAGCATTTCTATTCCGCCCTTCTCCACCCCAAAAGGGGACTCAGAGCGGATCACAGAACACATACACAGCAAACATTCAATGCCATTAAACACACAGGGCAAACAACAGATAGTGGTATTATGTCGGCATTTTCCCAACTTTGGCATCCTGGAGGTTGTGCTCGGTTCCAGCCACAGGGGGTGCTATCGCTCCATCCTCTATGACAAAGAGCCGTTGATTACAGACTTACTCCTTCCTTAGATTGCCGGCATTTTCTGGTATTTCCTTTTTACAGTGCCGTAAAATACCTCCCTGCTTAAGCAGTACCTAATTTCTTTCCTCACAACTCACACCTTTTTGCGAACTGCTTAGGTGGACAGTGAGTTGGGCTGAAGGTCAGATGCTCACCTTGACCCAGGCTTTGAGTTGCCAACTTTTCGATTGGTGTGATCTCTTGCTAATAGTGATTAACCAACTGTACTAATTGATAGGTGACACAGAGACACATAATCACATAGACTGAGTTTGTTTTCTGGAGGTTGAGCCATGAAGGTCCATTCTTGCCGACGAGAAGGAAACATTCAGCCCCACTGTCTTAGTGGCATGTTATCATTATTGTTCTGGCGGTATTATTTTTGTTCTATTTCTGGATTTTGTATGGAACTGAAAGGAGAAGCTAGGGATCCAATAAAAATACTGAAGTGAAACCTGCCTGGGTAGCAAAACCCATTCCTGGGTGTCTCCTTCCTTGCAAGAATGGACCTTCATAGTAAGTTTCCAAAGAATCATTTCCTTTGTTTTGTGCTGGATATTATTCCCAAGCCTTGGGAGAGCCTTACATCCCCCATATCTTCCATTGGTCTAACCAGGAATTGTTTAATAGCTTCATGAGTGTTGCTGGTGCTTGCTGAGTAATTTGTTCTATACCCAAAAGAAACTTTATAATTCAACACAGGGAAGGAAGAAGAGGTGAAAGGAAAGTGGGTGAAGCATATGGGCAAAGTTGCCATCCTTTTAAAGGCAAGCAGTGTTTGGCGAATGGGCTTATTAACAAAAGACCCTCCTCATAAAAGTGCAGCAAAGTAACTTATCAGTAGCGTGACCCAGCACCAGTAGCCCAAAGTGATAAAAAGAACAAAAACACACAAACCCAGCCTACCTATCTGAACGCATCTCTTCCTACGAACCCTCCAGGAAGTTAAGATCATCTGAGGAGGCCCTGCTCTCGATCCCGTCTGCTTCGCAAGCACGCTTGGCGGGGACGAGGGACAGGGCCTTCTCTGTGGTGGCCCCTCGGCTGTGGAACTCCCTCCATCCTACTCGTAAGAATATATAAAAACTGTTGTTCCGTATCAATCACTTAACCCCATAAATTCAAGCTTAGAGGAGATATACGAGACCAGTAACTGACCGGAACATACTATTGTTCGTTAATGAGAGTAACATACTCCTCTAAACTTCTATTCACGTCTTTTCCTGAAATGCACTAAGCTTATCTTATATGATTCACCTATTTATTATTTTAGATCCTTATCTCCCGTGGGCTATTTTGTAATAATTGTATTCACCCAACTAAAAAGTCCCTTTATTTCCTCGCTGAGAAACATCAAATTTACCCTGTGCTCCCATCTCATTCAGCTAAATCCTCATTAAACCATGCTTAATAATTATCTTTCCCTTCAACTGCCACTAATATACCTCCCGCTTCATTCCCACCTCCTCACCACCTCCTTCCTCCTCCAACATGTATCTGCTCCCTCCCCCAACCACCCTCATTTACCCACCTCTTCTTTCTCCCTTTTCTCTCTTCCCTTCCCTCCCTCTCTCTTCTTTCTTCCTCTTTCCTTCCTCCCCTTCCCCTCCCCTCCCTTTCCTCTTCCTTCTCCTCCTCCTTTCCCTCTCTTCCCTCCCTTCCTCCCT